TGCTCTAGTGTTTTACATAAACTTGATTATCTAAACCAATAAAGTAATTATTGATTTTAAAGTAGTAAACATTCTATAGGAATTACATATTACAAAAAAGTTATCACCTGCACAGTTCTTTGATGGTACTAACATCTACAATACGATAGTGCAGGTGTCTCATTAGTTCTGGCATGTATTTGTCAAGGAACTTCTTGTCTTCGTGAACAGAATTTCCTGCAAGAGGACACTTTCCTGGAGGTGTGTGCTGTCGGACAAACGACAAGAGCGCCATCTCGGCAGCTTGAAGAGAAAGAGTGCTGTTTCTACTGGCTTCAGTTAATCCAGACTGGAATAAAATGTTTCACAAACAAGTATTAACTCTCTTCAGAAGTCACTAATGGAATGTCATCTAATATTTTATAATGAGGAATTTAAGTAACAGAAAAATCAGTCAGTATCATCTAATGTTGTATATAAAGGAATTGAACAGAGTAAAATAATTACAGTTATCATTGAAGAGTAGAAAACAAAAACTGTTTTGGTACAGTGAAAGATAAAGATCTTTATATTTCAACCAACTAGTTTTTACCAACCGCAATAGTCAGCCGATAGGCCTAATAAAGAATTTATCTTTTATTGTGCCAAAAAACATTTTCTTTTTCACTCCTAATATAGTAGGACAATGTGCCTGAAAATAAATAATGTATTTCTTGTTGTTTTAAAATAGTTCAGATTTGGTACAAGTATTAAACATTTACAGGTCTAAACACCAAGTTTTTAATAGGGAACACAAGTTACCATTAATTACTAAGTAAAACAAAACATTTTTCTAGTCTTCTAGTTTTGTCAGTCAAGAATAACAATAGAAAAATATCTAGCAGGGAGTATATCATCATCAACAACAGAGTGGTCACTATATCCATATCAAATATTTTTAATACACTACAATTACATTATTTCAATATGTCAGCTTAGCTGCACATTTCAATATACAGAAGGTTGAGCAAGTCGTGTGACAATCACAACTGATATAGTCACGATGAAATTGTATATATCAACAAGTCGTGACAATCACAGCTGATATAGTCACGATCGAATGGTATGTATCAACAAGTCGTGACAATCACAGCTGATATAGTCAAGATCGAATGGTATGTGTCAACAAGTCGTGACAATCACAGCTGATATAGTCACGATCGAATGGTATGTATCAACAAGTGACAATCACAGCTGATATAGTCAAGATCGAATGGTATGTATCAACAAGTCGTGTGACAATCACAGCTGATATAGTCATGATCGAATGGTATGTATCAACAAGTCGTGACAATCACAGCTGATATAGTCACGACTGAATGGTATGTATCAACAAGTC